TGGAGGAGCGGCGGCCGTGGCGGCGGGGTGGCGGCGGGAGGGCATCGGGGGCGGAATAGGAGCCCCTGGTTCCTGGGGACCTGAAACTAAATTTTGGGAGTTCTCCTAAAATGGGAGTCCAAGTAGGAGCCCCATTGGAGTGGTTTTTTTTCTCAAGCCCCTAAAATTGGAATAGGGGCTTGTTTAGGGGCTCCACTGGAGTTGCTCTTACTAATGCACATGGTAATATCAAGTACAAAGATGTACAAAGTATCGTGACCAGCATCACTGGTAACGTAAGAGAGCTTGCATCACTGATAACGTAAGAGAGCTTGATATATTCATATATTGTACACTCCACAAACATCAACAATGGTATGTATATACATTAAATAAAGCAAATTATATACCTATACTACTTTACTTCTAATAAGTGTCCTTAAACCTTTGCTAAAACATAATGAAAAATACAAGTATTTCCTTATTTTGCTTCTTTTTAGTTACCTCTTGCCCGTTTCTAAACTTTTCACTTCACCTGAATTCTCACAAAAATGAAAAAAATAAAAAAAAGAATTTTGTGCCACCAGCAAAGGGGCAACTCAACTGTACTGTACTAAAGTAGCAGCCTATATATATGTGCATGTAGCAGGTTACAAACTTAAGTTAGGTGCAACCTAGTCATTTCACAATCCATGTACTACAGCTGTACCAGAGTATTTGAAATAATCGAACACGACCATTAGCTACTAGCTGCTACCGCGATTATTCGCATCACGCATCTCCTACAACTAAAAAGAATAAAAGTAAGATAATTTTTATACGACTCTTTTTTAGGTCGCTCCTCTTCCAGTCCCTGCGATACCACGTCCCCCGCCGCCCGCTCCCTCCCCTCCCCTCAAATCACACTCCATCCCCTCCAATCACGCTCCCTCCATTCCCCATGTGCGCACCCAAGCCACCGCTGCCTCTCCCACGTTCCCTCCCCCTCCCCACGCATTCATCCACGCCGCCATCGTTCCCCTCCAAGCTGCCCCAGGCGCAGCCACGCTCGCGGCCTCCAGGCAGGGGCGCGCGGCTAGGGGCACGGCCGGCAGAGCAGTCTCTAGCCGGGGACGCGGCCAATGCGCCAGCAAGCTCGAATCCGCACGCCGTCGCCGCCCCACGGTGCCCAGGTAACCCTCTAACCCTCTTGGTTCCTCGAAATACTTCTCGGATCCCTTCTACAGCGCAGAGTTCGTCAGGAAACCGTCGTTTGATTCTGGGAGCTATGATTCGCGCCCTCTTCCTAGACGAGTAGATCTGGATTAGCCTGCGAGGACGACGACCCCAGTAGTTCGGCTGCTACCGCCGTTATTAGTCGTCGCGGGGACACGGAAGCGTAGTCCTGCTTCTTCTCATGCCGCGGCACCCCTAATCGTGGAAGTCAAACAGTGGCGACGATTACCCAATATTGCTTTCGTCAGAGCTTAAATTTAAGCTTCATTGTCTATTTGCTTGATATTGTTGGCTGTTGTAGAACTCTATATTTAGGGGCTTATGGCGTTCTTGTCATGCAAATGGCGGTGTTTCTGAACCTTCTAGCTTGCTTGTATGACACCTACAATACTTGCCATTTCACATTATGCCCATGCTGCCATGCATTATCCATGAGGTATTACTTTTTGTTGTGGGTGTTGATTGTGCTTGTTGGTCGGTGCATTCTTGTTTTCTGTGGGTATTGATTGTGCTTGTTGGCCAATTGTATCGGATCGGGGTGTTTACGGTGTGCGGGGGTGGGCGGTTATTTCTAAGAACATGTAACAAGTGTTGATATGAAAATAGGTTCCTAGAATAGTGGGTTCATTAGCAATTTGGCACAACCTTGAAGCTGCAGAGGATTTCAAATGCCCTTTGTCATCAGCTATCCACCTCCATTGAGTCGGTATCTTTCTTTGTCTTTGGTTTTCTTTGACATCGATTTCATCATGCTTTTAGTTTCAAAATTTCTGCAGTATCTGTAAAATGTGGTTTTTGAATGCTTGATTTAGGGTATGTATCCCTAATTCTGGTAGGATGAGTTATAGGCACTTATTTGTTGCCTCATTTTCTTCTAGCTTTCTTCAATCTGGTGAGCCTTGTGTATGAGGAAAAGAAACATTTTCTTCTAGCTTGATTTAGATGTCATGATTTTTTTTGGGTGGCAATTCATTGCTACTGGTGGTGTTAGGACTTAGGAGTAGGATCCCTTTTGTAGATAAATGTAGGCACTTCAAGTGTATCGATATGCCTTATCAAATAAAAAGTGTATCGATATTTTTTCTTCTTATTTTTCTGTCCTATGGCCTGTGGTAGATGGGGGCACATGTGTCCTATTAATATTATATCTGCAGTAATGCTCTTAAGTGAAAGCATCCTTCTTGTCCTGCCATGTTCACTAATCTATGGAGTGTTTTTGTTTAGACTTTAGAGTATCTATGACGCATTCTGCCCCTATGTGATCCTGGAAGTTTCTGTAGGATGCTTATCTTATATTCCTGAATTTTTAGCTCTACTTGAATGAAAAGGTAAATAGAAGAAAATGTCATTGTTCTGACTTGCGAAAAATGTCTTTGTTTGACATATTAGCTATTTGAAGCCATAAAAAACATATTAGTAGTTCAAATTGTATAACCAAACTATCAAAGGGTTTCGTATCTGAAACCCTTTGATAGTTGCTAATGGTCTTGGGTAATAAACCTGGGGGATTGACTTGAAGCTTGTGTAATTTCGTTGCTACCAGTACTGAAATTCGGCTCGTCCCTTGTGGAAAAATTCAAAGGGTTTCGTATCCGAAGGTTATATCAACTATTTATTTTAGTAACTACCAGCATTATTATTTATCCTTTCCTTTAGTTATGTACCTTATGTGTTTATTATCCCTTCTGGGTAATTCTAGCAACTAACTAGAGCTCGTCGAGGGTGGGATGAAGAGGATGAATCTGATGATGACGACCTCTTCATCATTGCTGGTCTTCTTGAGGGCTCGAGGAGAAACAAGTGCAAGAAAAAGTTTCGTGGATCATTGCCGGGTCGCCGCAAAGTGCCACGGAACATTTCTGAAGGTCACAATCGCATCTATCTGGACTACTTCGCGGACCAGTGTGTATACACTGAGAAACATTTCAGAAGGAGGTTTCGGATGTCCAGTCTCTCTTTCTGCGGATAGTGGATGCAGTGGAGTCTCATGATGACTATTTCCATCGGAAGCCCGATGCCATCGGAACTCTTGGCGCCTCTCCCATACAGAAGATTGTTGCCGCCGTTCGGATGCTTGCCTACGGTATTTCAGCAGACTTCTTGGATGAGTATGTGAGGATGGGAGAGAGCACAATCATTGAGTGTCTGAAACATTTTGTGAAGGCTGTCGTCGATGTCTTTGGTGAAGAATACTTGAGGGCCCTCAATGCCCAGGACACAGCCAGGCTGTTGGCAATTAATAGTGCAAGAGGGTTCCCAGGTATGCTTGGTTCCATTGATTGCATGCATTGGAAATGGTACAAGTGCCAGTAGGTTGGAGAGGAGCATACGAAGGGAAGTAAGATGGGCCGACCATGATCCTTGAGGCCGTTGCATCACAAGATTTATGGATATGGCATGCATTCTTCGGCCTTCCTGGTTCTCTAAATGATATCAACGTTTTGCGCCGCTCTCCACATTTCAGAGTCTGACTTCTAGGATGGCGCCACAAGTGGAATACATGGTCAATGGAAACAAGTACACAATGGGGTACTATCTTGCTGATGGGATATACCCAGCCTGGGCAACGTTTGTCAAAGCTTTTCAACATCCACAAAGCAACAAGAAGATCCACTTCACAATGGCACAAGAAGCAGCGAGGAAAGATGTGGAAAGAGCGTTTGGGGTACTCCAAGCTCGCTTTGCAATTGTGCGGGGTCCTGCAAGAATGTGGGACAAGGAAGATCTATGGTATATAATGCAAGCTTGTGTAGTCTTGCACAACATGATCATTGAGGATGAGCGAGATGAGGAAGATGATTTTAACTACCATCAGGAGGGTGTCCCTGTGTTGCAACCTATGGACTACCAACGTCGTAATCCGCTTGTGCTAGAGGACTTCCTGAAGATACACGACGAGATTGAGGATAGGTCTTCACATGAGCGACTTCGGGATGACCTTGTACAGCACTTGTGGGCAATTCATAGTTCTAGATAGTTAGAACTAATAGTTCTAGATAGTTAGGACTGTATGTGTCTTTTTCCTATATTCATGGTTTGCATGGCCATCTGAATGAGAGTTGTGTTGCAGAAATTGGATAGGGCCTGTTTGGCAGCTCAGTAAACTTATTCACTTGCAAGAGCTTTCCAGTTGTAATTATTTAACTACTGCTGTTATTCTACATATTTGAACTATTAATAATGTTTAATTACACCAGGGATTTTGATGCTTTTGATTTACGATTGAGGCTTCCTGTTGTAGTTAGCAAATTGCTTATATGTTCTGGATTCTTGGGTACAGTCTCAATGAAGGACATCAACTGCTGCAGGACATCAGCTGCTACAAAAGTCATGTGTTGTGCAGTGGCATAAACAACCAGTGAAGCACTTTTTCTACCACTTATACTGTAACACTTTGGTTTAGTTTTTAGTAGCAGTGAAGCAACATTTAATGGAAGTGGCATGCTTTTGAACTTTTGTGAATGAAAGTAAAAATGTATAATAGTCCTAGAGCTAGGCAAGCTTTCTCTGAACTGTTGGGAATGAAATGTAATATATTATGTAGCACATTCAAATTCAGTACACTGATTATCAAGCAAAGACAGAGAGCAAGGCACATAATTCAAACTGAAGGAAAATGTCTTTCACAAATGACCAAGGCACAGCCATAGTTTGCAGACTACATAATTCATATTACACATAGTACCCTCATTGAACTGAAGAACACACCAAGCTTTTCAACATAGAGCAATAACAACAAAGAGCAATAAGATGCTAATTTTCTTGAGACATAAACTTAAGAAATGACCACTCCACTCTCACAAAACCTACACTCCACTCTCACCACTAGCCTTCTCGCTTACACTACCGCTCATCTCCTTCACAATCCGAGCTCTCTTTGCCTTCACATATGCCCTTTGATCATCATCCATGGTGGTGACATCACAAAACATAACTTTCTGTTCTTGCTCCCACTGCAGACTCCGCTCTTCCACCTCAATCCTACGCTGCTGAAGCATCATATCCTTGTCCCACCTTTCTTTCTTCATCTTATATTCCTCGGTCTTGAGTACCACTAAGGTTTGCATCATATCCTTGTACTCATCCTCTCCTTCATTTTTTTCAGCTTCTCTTTGGATTGCTTTCTACCCGGAGGTCGGGTTGTCTTGGCAGAAGGAATTGAAGAGCTCTCTTGGCCTTGGGCAGTTGAGTCATAGTCTTGTTGAGTTCCTACGGAGAGGTTGAGCTCTCTGGACTTGGCCGGCCTCTTGCTGACTTCAAGTGTTGATTCAAACTTCTGAGTATGCCTCAACGTGAGCCAGCATTCTTCGAATTGACATTTTTGCCCTTCGCTTTTCTGGCATACCTTTCATGGGCTTCCAGCAACTGCAGCAAAGATCAAGTGCGTGATTAGATATATAGCAGCGACAACATATGGGATGAACCAAGTGCAAGATGACATACATGTTCTTTGTATGGGACGCCACTTGGATGACGACGCTCGACCTCCTCGTAGTAGCCTTGGAATTTCATGCACTCCTTTAGTATGATTCCAAAGCGATGCTCGAGTGAATTTGGAGTCCTATCGGACTCAAAGTCCCTGTTCCTGTGGAAATCATTAGCAATCCTCTCCCAATAAGTTTTTCCTGCCTGATCATTCCCTATGATAGGGTCATTGCTGATATGAATCCAGGATTTGCAAAGTTGGATATCTTCAAGACTAGTGTAGTTACTGCCTCGCTTGGATGCTCCTTTCCCGCCGGTACTTGGAGTGGCAGCCTGCTGATTCACCAATTCCAAATCATCATCCTTTTCCTGTGTCATTATGTTTGTGAAATATTGTGAACTTGAAGCCCATGGTTGCTGCAAAGAATAAGAGACAGTCAATTTTCAGTGAAACTGAAAATGAGTACAGTGGCAAATAGATAGTCAACAATCCAACTGAATGCCATCTACTATGACTGCTAGTATTCATGACTGATAAAAAAATCACAGCATGACAACTGCTCATGACAAGAATTGAGCATGCCAACAACCAAATGATGCTCAGCTAGAAAATCCCTCCCCAACTAACACCAAATCTATCCCAACTCGGAGCTGTCATTGCAGACATTGAGGTCACATGTCCATCAGTTGTGCATGCACCAAAAATTCAGTTTCACATTCACACAAAATATTAGCATCAGAACTCAAATGGCATTCAGACCCATTGGCGTCAGATAGCATTCACATTGAGACACTAATCTTTGGAGCATATAGAACATAATCTTTGGGGCTAAACTCACCGAGTAGTCAGGCGTCCAATGGTTGGGGCTAAAGTCATCGCCGGCGACCTCGTACACTTCTGCTGGTGATGTTGTCATTCGGCAGGCGTCCCAGGTGGCGGCGTGAGGCTCTGTGAAGTTCAACGCGCGAGGACCGAGTGGAGGTGGGTCGTTAGGGAGCCGACGAGAGAAGCCAACGCCAGCACCAACGCCGCCGCAGCTGGGAGAAGGCATCCGGACACCACTACCGCCGCCGCCGGGAGAAGGCATCCTACTGCCGCTGCCGGCGGGAGAAGGCATCCTGCCACCACTGCCGCCGCCAGGAGAAGGATGTTCTTGGTGACCAGGCGGGTTGGCGTCGAGAGAAGACGATGTGGGAGGACGGGAATGCGGCGCGACGAACAGAGCACGACGTCGTGTGGTAGACACCGACGGACGGGGAGGCAGCCCGCCTTCGGAGAATCCTCCTGACGCGCTGTCGTCCATAGGAGCAGAACCGGCGGGAGAAGAGGACGAGGAGGCTCGCCGGACCAGGACCTCGCCGGATCCGCGAGCTCCGGGGCAGAGCTCGCCGGATCTGCGGGGTCTCGCCGGACCGCCGGGAGGAGTCGGTGTGGGGAGGAGCTTCCGCGGTACTCGTGTGGAGAGGAGAAGGATGCGGCCACGTGCAGGAAGAGGAGCGGCGGTGGAGGAGCGGCGGCCGCGGCGGCGGGGTGGCGGCGGGAGGGCGTCGGGGGCGGAATAGGAGCCCCTGGTTCCTGGGGACCTGAAACTAAATTTTGGGAGTTCTCCTAAAATAGGAGTCCAAGGAGCCCCATTGGAGTGGTTTTTTTTCTGAAGCCCCTAAAATTGGAATAGGGGCTTGTTTAGGGGCTCCACTGGAGTTGCTCTTACTAATGCACATGGTAATATCAAGTACAAAGATGTACAAAGTATCGTGACCAGCATCACTGATAACGTAAGAGAGCTTGCATCACTGATAACGTAAGAGAGCTTGATATATTCATATATTGTACACTCCAGAAACATCAACAGCGGTATGTACAGCTAAATAAAGCAGTGTTATACCTATACTACTTTACTTCTAATAAGTGTCCTTAAACCTTTGCTAAAACATAATGAAAAATGCAAGTATTTCCTTATTTTGCTTCTTTTTAGTTACCTCTTGCCCGTTTCTAAACTTTTCACTTCACCTGAATTCTCACAAAAATGAAAAAAAAATAAAAGAATTTTTGTGCCACCAGCAAGGGGCAACTCCAACTGTACTGTACTAAAGTAGCAGCCTATATATATGTGCATGTAGCAGGTTACAAATTTAAGTTAGGTGCAACCTAGTCATTTCACAATCCATGTACTACAGCTGTACCAGAGTATTTGAAATAATCGAACACGACCATTAGCTACTAGCTGCTACCGCGATTATTCGCATCATGCATGATTATATATTACTAAAGGACCATGGATAATACACACAAACCGTGTATGTCTATGAGTACCAGGTGTCCGACCCGGCAGTGATATATGTACCCATCACTGCTGATTCATAGCAGAAATTGGCAGTGATATTTATGTCTATCACTGTTGGACATGGTCTTAAACCGGCAGTGATATGGTGAGTTCCACTGCCGGTTTAAGCCGCGACCCGATAGTGATACTCATGACACCACTGCCGCATCAATGCACACCTGACGTTGAATTGTTGAGTGCCACATTAGGTCCAATTCCACACTCGACAATTCTCATTTCTCACACACTGTAGACAATTCTAACATGGTACAATACATCATATATATATATACAACTACAAAGGACAAATTAACTTAATATATAGGTAGCTACATAATGAAGTTCTTACAGACCAAGGTCTAGTCATTACTTTGTCTCTTACATCACTAGCTCATTAACAAACCAAAGTATCTGATCAGTACTAAACACACCCAACTACTCATAGTCGGGCCCTTTCACCTCACCCTTAGCCATCTCTTTGACCTCAAAAAATGAGGCAGTGTATATAGCGAACATCCCCTATTGTGTAGTCGAGCACATCACTTATGTTGATCAATGAATGAATTAGTGCACTCTCTTGCCTAAAAGGAACGAGAACATGATCTACCATAGAATAAACAGGTTGGAGGCAAGTGGCTCTGTTCGCGTGCCCTTAAACCCGGCTTGATCCGCTTATTTTTTTCATCCGAAACAGTGTTTTTCTCTCACAAATTCCTCCAGCATTCCTCCGAACCATCCAGATTCCTCCAAAATTCAGACAAACGAACAGGCCAGTATCAACGGTACCCAAGCTTCTCCGCCACTTGAGTTAGAATTGCATGGAAGCTACATGTAGTGTACGTCAAATCATGAAAACGAACCTGCAAGTGGTGTCATGCAAAAAATAGAATGTGAGCAATATTGAGTGGAAAAATAATGTATATACACATGTGAGCATCACTCACACTATACCACATCTGCGTTGTTGTCCTTTAACATGAATGACTACAAGGGAAATGGCTTTGGTAGCTGGAGAAAGGTGGTGGTCGGAGATGCAGACTACGGTAGGTGGTGCCAGGTGTCCTGGCAGGAGGCGTAGAGGACGCCGGTGGCGCTCGGGCGGGCTTCACGTGGATTTTTGCATGGCGCTAGTCGGGTGTGCGGGAGGGAGGCTATGGAGTTTTTTTTTTGACAAATGGTGGCGTTCGGATGGACAGCCTTAGGGTTCAATCTAGACGAACGGCCCAGATTTAATCCACATTGTGGACGGCACATATTCCCACCTACAAAAAAATAATACCATACGCCATGCATGACGTGCCTATCACCGTAGTTTATGATTATGTATAGAGACAAGTCAACGAGCATCAACTATCGTCGAATGGTGATCAGAGCTGTCAGTCTGTCACCTCACTGTAACATATTGTGCTCACTAGAGAAATAAATCAATTTACACACAAAATCACCACAAAAAGAAATCATAGGTAAAATTCTTATCACCGTTGGCTCGACAGACGATTTGCTGGTTGGAACCAATGCGATTTCCACCGCCGAATCATAAAACGAAACGGCGGTGATAGCGATTTTCACCACCAGCGCTAACAAGCACTACGGCCTTCCATCTTTAAACCGGCGATGAAACTTCTTACCATCGTCGGTTTGTATGGGCATCGTGCATTGGCTGCATAACCAGCGGTGCTAAATGTTTTCACCACCGTTTCGGTATATGATATGGTGGCGAAGACCCGTGTTCACCGCCGGATTACACAAATTAATCGGCAGTGAAAAACGTTCATCACAGCCAGTAAGCCACCTTGTGTGGCCCCTTAGCCTATGAACCGGCGGTAAAACTCCCGGTGGTGATCCTTTCTGTAGTAGTAAATGGTGGCTAGGATTCCCGGCTGCCTCTAAAAATGTATTTCTAGAAGTTGATAGGTTAGTGAGACCCGATGGAGTGCTCTGTAAAGGTGGCTCGAAATTCATCCACATGTGTCCTAGAAGGGCTCCGTTGCTAAAAAAATTAATTACTTGATTGTGAAGGCTTCAAGCATTATGGTGCAAACTATATCTTAGGTGCCATTTTAAAAACTAATACTTAGGTCACTAAAATTTTTTAAAAACTTGATAACCCACATTACATTCATATATGTACTCATATGCAAAAGGTAGATACAAACTCAAACTAGAAAAGTTTATATGAAAATGATAATTTTAGGTGCATGTGCACTACACAAAATAAAATTCCTAGGTTTTTGTCTTCTAGTGCGGATGTATATGAAATTTTTTATTTTCATATGAATTTTTCTAGTTTGAGTTTTCATCTTAGCTTTTATACGAGTACATATATGGATGCAATATGAAAATAGCAAGTTTCAAAAAAAATTAAATGATCGTACAAAGTGTGGCGAGGGACACGTGTTATTATTATTATTATTAGCTTTCATGTCTAAATATTCTCCTATATATTTCTCATTTTATTTAAGGAAATTTAGTCGCGCACTCCTCACATCCCTTCTAACATAGTGCCAAATGTACGGCTGAACAAAACATCTAAAAAATTGGGGTTGCATTGGGTTAGGTGCTATCGGTAGGTTCAAGTGTTATTAAACAATACAATTATGAATCGGTTATCTGTGTGAAATCTGCAGACAAAAAGAATTCATTATTTCATTTCTCAAATTTTTGTTTGGTTTGTGGAATGGAATTGATTCATCACCACTTTATTATTCCTCACAAGTTAATAATTCGTATTAGTATAGGAAATGCAGTCATTTCACTAAAATTGAAAAATGGATTTATAATACATCAGCTCATATAGAATAGATTGATTCCACAAGCTAAACACTTAAAGTGTATCAGACTATGCAGACAAAGTATTGTGTTGTCTGTGTGTGCTTTAATCATGGTGCATAGACTCACATAGAGTGTGTCACGGGGCAAGCTAATATCAGATATGCTCTTGCCTAAATGATTTCGCTGCCTCTCCCACGCACTCCATCTCTCCAAGAGTACTCTATAAATACCACCTCCTGCCCCCTCTAATCTCACATCTCACAGCACACAAAGAAGGATCACGAGCCCTACCCCTCTGGCCAGCGCCTCGCCATAGTTGGCCACCAATCATATCCCTTATTATTACAATGGCTACTCCCTCTCTCACCTTGCTTTTTCTGTTCCTCTGCCCAGCAATAGTCCTGGCAATTGCTAGCCCCGCTGAAAAAACAGGTCTAGATCCATGCGTGTGTCCCCAAGAGAACGAGATTCGCCTGCATATGTACCTAGGCCTTGTTTAGATTGCATCCAAATTCCAAATTTTTTCACTCTCTCTCCATCACATCAATTTTTGGACGCATGCATAGAGCATTAAATGTAGGTAAAAAAATAACTAATTACACAGTTTGGTTGTAAATCACGAGACAGATCTTTTGAGCCTAGTTAGTCCATGATCGGACAAAGTTTGTCAAATACAAACGAAACGTGCTTTCTGATGTCCGAGGTTGCAAAAATTTGCAATCTAAACAAGGCCCTACACCAGTTCCTGCTCGTCTCAAACCCTAACGAAGTAGGTGCGATAGGTTCATCCCAACCTATTGGGTTTGGCACCATGTATGTTCACGACTGGTTTCTAACCATAGGACCCAATCCGAATGAAACGATTGTTGCACGCGCACAAGGCTTCCATCTCCAGGCTGGTCAAACCGCCACTAGTTGGTACACTTCTCAGATTATAGTGTTTCAGGACGACAGCAGGTAATTAAGATGTATGTTTTCTTTAAATTACATGCAATGCTCAGACCAGTAATATAATGTTTGCAAATTGCAGCAATTTTTTTTTTGGAGGACATTTATATATTCAGATGTCTACCACCAGCCCCCACAATGTTCAGTTATAGAGAGATTGATGCATGATATATAGGACAGTCGTTCATGTACCACGACGGGGGATTTTAATTTAGACATGTAGGATTGCTCTATAGTTCTTCTTATAAGGTGAACTAAATTCTAAGGGATATCCTGTTCCGAAGCACGCCTTTACGATACTGCTTCCTCCATCAGAAATGATAATCATATTTGACCAGAGAAAAAGTCAAACTTTATAAATATTGACCAACAATTAGTCAAGTTATCTACAAGGTTACAGCATAAAACTTGCATCAATAGATTTTTGTTCAAAGCGTCTCTAAGATGATATTGATTTTTTTAGCAATTGGCTCTATGTTATAAGATTAGCGATCAAAACTCACTGTGTTTAACTTCTCCTTTGGTCAAATATGATTATCATGTCTCAACGGAGGGAGTAGCTCTAACTAGTATGTTGTGATTTGCAATGCTTATGATAGGTTCTCCAAAATACGCTAACAATCCGTCCCAAATTATAAGTCATTTTAGCTTTTCTAATTATATAGCTTTCCTATGGACCCAGATATAGGTTATGTCTTGATACATATGTATTTTAAAAGCCAAGACAACCTATATATTGGAATGGATGGAATAACATCCAATTGATAAATCGATGAGGAATGGACCAGCCATTTGAAGTCCTTTTTTCAACAAAACGGTGTGTACAACATGTGCTAGAGGATGGTAAATAGGGGTGCTAATGGATGTCGAGAAACCTGAAATATCGGAATCTTTTTTTTCTTGGGGTGTTTCTATCCCTAATATACATCTTCGTTTTTATGTTCATACAGTTATTAATATAATTGTTATATGGCACTTGTATGCATGAAATAGTTTTGCAGGATCCACACTCGAAGTGTTAGGGATTACTCTCCCTCCCAGGCCCTCGGGTGGTCAGTGGTCCATTATGGGTGGCACCGGAACATTTACTAATGCACATGGTAATATCAAGTACAACGATGTCCGAAGTACCGAGAGCAGCATCACTGATGTCGTAAAAGAGCTTGATATTGATATATTCTACACTCCAGAAATATCAACATAGGTAAGTACAACTCGCTAAATAAAGCACAGTGTTATACCCATATTTCACTTATAATAAGTGTCCTTAACCCTTTGCTAAAACATAATGAAAAATAAATTATTTCCTTATTTTTTTCATTTTTTACCTCATGTAAACTGCTTCTAAACTTTTTGTTTAACCAATATAGTTAAGCAGAAGAACAAAATAAAAAAAAAGAGAATATTTGAGTTGTTGAGTACACATTTTTGTTTTACAATGGACCTCTACCAGCAACCAGCTACTCCAATAGTACTAGAAAGTAGCAGCCTACATATGTGCATGAGCATGTAGTAGGTTACAAATTTAATTTAGGTGCAAACTAGTCATCTCACAATGCCATGTACTACACAGCTGTTCCAGTATCCCAGAGTATTTGAAATCGACCATACATATGATTACTAAAGGACCATGGATAATAAACACAAACCGTGTATCGTGTATATTTATATGTGCAATTTGTATGATTTGCCTTCATTTTGTGTGTTTTATATATTTGCAAGTGCATGGTGCAGCAGTTTATTGAAGTGCAACTGGTCAGGCCAGATCAAAATAAATCTCCCGCTTGAGAGTTTGCTCTAAAGTACCTGCTAAATTTATAATTTAAAGGACATTTTGTCCATGGAAGCTTGCGATGTGCCCTAATGCTACTGTGTCGCCCGTGACTCTCCAATATCGAAGTATTGGGTTTTTTTTTTAATCATGATGATGATGTGTCGGTGACCATGTAGCAGTGTTTCCGTTTCTATTTCTCATGTATGTGAAATAATACATGGGTTTATATATCATAGGACTATGAATCCTGGCTATATATATAGATCCATGCTGTGTTGTTTGTTGCTGCATATGTAAAATTGAGATGAATTATGTGTTGGAAAATTAGGCATTTGATAGATTATGTTCCGAATATAAATCATGACATGCACGATTCGATAAGCATGCTATTTCTCATAAACTAGCATATGTAGTGGGAAGTAGTACTGGAATGAATAGAATAAACCAATATAGAATAGTTAGGAAATTGTACCCTTAAGTGAGACCGGCATCAAGGCCACTAGTGGCGCTGTTACTCGGGTCTAACCGAGCCTTGTTGGTGTAGTCAAACTCAGCAGATGCAGTGTAGCAAATTCAATGCAAACTTGAAAACAACAGATTAGTAACTGTCGGAGGTTCCGAAGTTTGGGCCAAAACTTCCGATGCCTGTTGGAAGTTCCAACACCTATAGAAGTTCCAACTATAGAAGGCTCTGAAATCAAAGTAAAATGAACTTCAATTTCAGATATGCTAATTACCCCACTTCCCAAGAGGTAGATGAAGGTGTAGAGGCACTTCCTTGTCCTTAGAGCACCACCAAATTGTAGATCGAGGCCAAACCCTAAGAATAAGCTTGAGGGAGGGAGAGAACCAAATACAAGTAATTTTATGCAATCACAACAACAAGAAGCATGCAGAACCCTTTTTTCTGTCAACACTACGTTGATTATTCACGTGCATGATTACTGTAAGTACCATTGATAATAAACACAAATCGTGTATGTATATGTGTAAGCTGTAAGATTTGTCTTCATTTTTATTTTATATATACAGGTGCATGGTGCAGCAGCTTATTGATTGAAGTGCAACTGGTCAGGCCAGATGAAAATCTCGCGCTCCAGAGTTCGCTCTGAAGTTACCTGTTAAAATTATAATCTAAAGGACATTTTGTCCATGGAAGCTTGCGATGTGCCCTAATGCTACTATGTCGCCAATTACTCTCCATTACATAAGTATTACCGATTTTGTTTTATGATGATGAAGTGTCGATGACAAAGATACGAAAATGTTCCCGGTAGAAACCAAGCTATGAAAATCCAGCAGAATAGTGCACATGATGTACAGTATAGGGAATGCACAAATAAGAATATAGTGAGAAGAAAGAGTAACAAATGGGCATTCTATTCACAAATGAATAGCACAGATTGTTAAAACATTTTGCAACATTTGAATTCTAATTTAACATCAATATCCGCTTGTGGCCAGATCTTAGTATCTTACACGTATTCACAGCATAATCTACAAACTACAGTTGGTTAAAGACATAAGGTGGCCTAAAGGCCCCTAAATCAGTGCAAGGGTTAGTTTCTAGCACTAGAATTATAATAAATGAGCCAGGTACTGATTCGAGTGTACAACCAGCCTCTTTGCAACCAGCCGAATGCCAGCATTTTGCTGGTAATCGTATAGCTCCGGTGAGAAGAATGCGTCCACCTTGCTCCCTTTAACAAACAGGGAGTCCAATTCTGTGGTGGCTACATTGCTGAAATCAAGTTCCTGGATGCTGCCACTAGGCTCTTTCTGGCATATATCAGTTGAGTAGGCCGTAGCATCGCTGTTTGCAATAGTAGGGATGCTGCACGGAAAGGCCATCCTTAGAGCTCAGGAAAACATCATGACGAGACCAAGGTAGAAAATGGAAGGAAAGAATATTATTCAAAGAAAAGAGTAGAACTCACTTAAGGCGGACAGTCGGACGATTAACGTATCCATACTTCTTAATCAGGGGTCTCCATTCAGAACTGCTACCAGATTCCTGGGATAACTTCCTAGCAAGATCATCGCAGAATTCCAAAACTTTACTGAGACTCTCAGGGATCTCAACCACTATGCTCATCTTTGGCCGCCCTGCGTTATCAAGAAACTTTGTACTGACACCAAACTGTACTTTCAAGCCTGCACAACAAAGCTGTAGTGGGCAATCTCTGTGCTGGATAGATGACCTTCGGCCAAATTGGTGTAATGGAGCAACTGAGATTTCAATACATTCAATGGAAACATCATCTGGCTCAAGAAATCCAGAATAACCACTAGAACTTGCATCCATATGCGTGGTGGTATCTAGCTTCATCTCCTCAATGTGGGATACCAACTCAACAGATTCCCTGTTGGTAGAAGGATCACTTGTTCTTTGATTACCTTCCTCAGGCATCACACACTCAACTGGAGAAACTGTCCGTTGCCTTTTTGATGAATCCGGTGGAGACTTTGCTTCAGGTTTTGGCAAATCAGGGGATGCAGTACCATTAGCTCGGCTCCTTGTTGCACCTTCAACCAGATTTTCAACAGTGAGCACCTCTGGAAGACTTGCCTCCTGTCAGAATAACTTTGGGGTTTAGCTAATAGATCAACTTCAACATTTAACAAACAATTAACTCTACAAATATATGGCAGCAACATGCTGATTCCATTTCTTTGTAGGGGTAATATTTATGCAGTAATTCAAGTTGTAAAATTGGACATGAGTTGTGGTAAATTCCTAGTTGAATTCAAATTACTTGTGGAAAACTCACAACTGCAAGAATCAGAACTGATGTACAAATTTCCATATGAAGTAGGAGTTTTCAAATTATTACCACAGCAGCAATATGGCTCACTTTTTGCAAGGGCTACTGTTTCTATAGTAATTCAAGGTGCGATGGAATGTGAGTTATGGTATCAGTTATATAAATTTCTTGCAAGATTGCAAATTATTTGCGCCAAACCGACAACTGCAACATCAGAACTGAGCTACAACATGTATGGTATCATAATAAAAATCTTTAACATAAGACCTACATTCCAATAGCTAAACTTCAATTATTGATTGAGGAACTGAGTTTTTCCCACTTCCGATGCCTCAATACATGGGAGGCCAGTAGGGGAGAAAATTTCATCAGTGCTTTAATGCAAAAAAAACACAGATTTATATGGCTGGGACTGACTAGTTGATGAAATTAGTCAGGCATGGGGAAAATATGTTAACGAAAACATACCAGGAACAGAACTGTAGCACAGTATTTGAGAACTTCAAGGTTCATTCTAACATCATCAAGACTCCTGTAGATAAATTACCAACAAATTTAGTGGGAGATCATTCAGTCCAGCTTTGTGCAGGCCAAAATAAAATCAAACAAGCAAGGGAAACCTCAACATGTAAGTTTTAACTAATATCCTATCAACAATCATTAGATTTGTGTTTGCAGAAATTGGAGTTTATTGAATAATATTTTTATCAGAAGACATTCATGTCAGGTAGGCAATTTTTCGGGTGAGATTTGACATGTTGGACCTGTTTGATCCCATGGGCAACAGCTAGCAACTAAAAAAAGCTCTAGTCCATCCAAACAGGAGTGCTAATGGGTGGGCTAATTTTTAGCCAAGCCCTTGGCTAGCTGTTAGTTCATTAGCCAAAGTACAACTAGCTAACAAAGGCTAATAGTTCATTGCTAGGGATATGTGCACCTTTTAGCCTGGGATCCAACATGCATGAGCTAATAGTTAGATGGCTAATTTTTAGCCCTTGCTAATAATTAGCCATAGCTGATCCAAACAGGTAGCAGAGTTATATTGATGCACCACAGAATTATGGCATCTATTCAGCATGATCTATCTAAAGGAAAGAACCATCATAGGCTGTGTCATATTTTGGATAATAATCCATCCAGATGAGAGAATCCCCAAACCTAGAAGGGATGGCTTGGGACATCCTGGAACAGATGGATGCTTACTTAAAATTGTGAAGGACAACATTCTCCAATCGAATTCATCGTATAGCTAGGTCTCCACTTATAGTTGGCGCATCTTGTGTTATGTTACACAAGATGCGCCAACTAAAATGGGTAACCAAATACAAGCTAAAAGGATTACAAGCCAATTTCAACAAACTGATGTGGTTCAAAGGGTGAATATTTGTTTGATATTAAAAAAAGGGAAAAGGTGTAAATGAAAAGTAGACATTGAAAGGAAGTGATTAAAATTGAGATGTCCTGATATCACTAGGATTGGCATGATACCAACCTGTGCCTTTGCCTCCCCAGGCCAAAGTAATTTGCCAAGCTTGCCATCTGCAGGTAAACAGACAAGGACAGAACATGAGATATCCCTTTCAATGTTAGAAGGAACAGACAAAATTCCACTAGAGATTGTTGTTAGTTTTAAGTAGGATATAAATTGAACTGTCATTATTACTGAACTCAATCTAAAACACGCTTCTCTAAATTACAGGCTAACTCTGAGTCAACACATAGTTGTATACCTTCATGTCCCCTGCTCTCCTTCCAAACCGTTGGGTAAGCAGAGGCAAGGTGTCGATCATCCCCTTGGGTTGAGGAGGTGACCGGCCAATCTCACTGAATGCCTCTCTTATTCTTGCAGAATCAAACCTCACAATGTTGTGCCCTGCCCAGACCCGCCCTGTCAAAAGTTCAGAAGAGTTATTTCAGTGCAGCTTCTTCATGAAAAGATTAGGTTTGTACATAAAAAGATAATGCTATCAGGTAGCTTATGCTCCAATGATTCCTTTCAAACTAATGACAAATGTGAAATGACTAATTGACTCTATGACCTCTATATGAAACCAAATAGTAGCTAGCACAACGGTCTGATTAGCACCTAGTTCATACTTGCAACGAAAACGCAATATACAACTTATAATGAGTAAACAACTTGCTTGAACATGATTTCAATTCCAGGAACAGGAAGATCAATTATAAGTAAGTTATAGCATTAGTTAGAACAAGGCCATTCCTTCCTTGACTTTCGTCCATGTGGCTAGGATGAGAACAGTTCCCTACACCCATAAAAGCAATGCAACGAATGTGGCCATTTCTGTCCCTATGCGGTTCGTATCCCTAATTAATCAATGAATCGATCCATGAACAATTGCAACTGAAGATAAGATGGAACGGAACAAGGGCGCGAGTCGCGGCGTGGGGAAAAAAGAAGCTCACCGTTGAGGAGGTTGTAGACTGCGTCGGCAACGTCGCGGAAGGGCGGCGCCCCGACACGGCGTCCCTCGTGATGCCGTTGCAGCGCACGGAGGCCGCCGAGACCGCGGAGACCGGGTCGGCGGGGCGGACGAGCGTGGCGTAGGAGGCGACCTCGACGAGCCTGCGCGGGCAGACGAGGATGGCGCCGAACTCGAGCAGCGCGTAGCCCTGGCCCGCCCGCTGCGGCACCGAGGTCTCGACGTCGAAGAAGGCGATCTCGGGGGCCCCCTCGCCCGGCAGGACGGTAGCTGGAGGATCACCCTCAGGCGCGGTCGCTGCAGCAGGCTCGGTCGCAGACGCGGACGGGGAAGCGGAGGTGGACGCCATCTTGTCAGCAGGTAGGTAGGTAGTTGAGGTGTCAGGCGTGTGTGTGGTGGGGCGAGGTGGTTGATATATAGGACGGAGGAGACGGTTGGGGCTTGCGTGGGAGGAGGGGCGGCGCGGGGGGAGGAGGCGTGACGGGAGCGGCGGCGGGGAGGCGGGGCTAGGGAGGTGTTGGACGGAATTCTTGCCGGCGCGGCGGGGTGTGGTGGCGTGGCGTTGGGGGTTTTGGTTGGACGGGGAGGTGGAATTGGAATAGGAGTTGGTTATGGTAGCTTCCGGGCTAAGGAAGGTTGGGTTGCTCCACCGTGGTCCGTCCGCGTCCGACCGACGAGAAGTAGGAGAGCTATGCTATGCAATGCAAACTCCGTTGAGATGTACCTGGTGGAGCTGGGCTTCCTTTCCCCTGCTGCAAGAAAGCAACAGGCGAGGAACAAGAAGAGGATGGCATATGGGTGCAGCGTGTCGTAGCCTGGGTAGGCAGCCAGTGGCGTTGGGTCCGTCACTGCGAATTGATTTTTAGACAGGTAGTTTCATCAGAATTTAACAAGTTATTATTATCATATATAACATTTTTTATAACATAACAATATTTATCGAAAAAAGAGAGATGAAGCCCTTAGTTTTGCTGAATTTGATCTCATCCACGGTGACTTTGTCAGACTTCTAAGCTCAAGACTGTTGTTGGTAACATCATCATTAATCTGACAATAGATGGTATATATTTGCATCCAGACACGGGATAATGGCCCTCCACAATGTTCCATCTTATTTACCACCAAACGTGTTATTACATGCTTGGATACAACAGATTCCCCTGCCTTTTTTTTTTGGAACAAAAAATACTTCAAGTGGTGGTGCCATAACATCAAGTATACTTCCCCCATCTTAACAAATTATTGTACGTGTCACAAATGCTTTGATGATGGTATCCAATTCATAAGAAAGTTGGGAGGCTTCATGATCATCTGGCTAGAAGCTGGCGTCCTCTGTTGTCGGCCGCCTCAAGAAATAGCGCAAGCTATTAGAAAGAACCTGAACATATGAGATAAATCAGAATGTGGCAACAAAATGTGAGTTCTATGAGAATCAGGTGTATAGGAAAAACCCCAAGAATGGGCATTGAACGCCTACCTGTTTTAAAGCCTCCATCAGTGGTTTGCCCCTGTAGCTGACATGGAATTTTGCTTTAGCCAGTAGCCCCTACAAGAGTATAAAATATAAGGAGATGAATATGGTTCCCTGCATGAACATACACTTTGTAAAACTGTTGTCACCTCAGTATCAAACTCTCCAGATTGGACATTGATGTTGATGTCTGAGATGATCTTAACAAGGTCAACCAGCAACCCTGGACGATCCGCTGTTTCCACCACAAGTAAGCTGAAATGGAACAATAAAGAAATTCAAAATCACTTTGATATTATAGAGACTAGAGTAGGCATTTTCGTATATCCAGCATTTATGTCGATGAAACAATAGCAGTGGATCAAGCAAGGAAAGCCCAGTATATATATGTAACTAGTAGATGTAGGCAACGTGTTTTTTTTATTCAAAGGGCACATATAAACTCTGTGAACATGTTCTTATGTTGCTTTTTGCTGGATGAAATCAAATCCTTTGGATTGATGACAGAAGAGCATAATTTTCCTTATATTTGAAGAATAATGCACAAGGTAAGAAAAAGCATATACCTTCTTTCAGGGCCATCATAGATATCTATGTGGGTTGCTATGTCCACATCAACCTACCAATGTACAAGTGAACAATGTTTATATCCAGTGAAGGTTTTCATGTCTCCAGAACAGACACATAATTCTGGCGCTGTACTTGGCGGCAAATTTGATCACTATTGTACCATGGGAAGATCGATCAAGTCTGTTCTACTATAAACGGATCCAGCAATAAGGCGATCCCAGAGACCCAGATAAGAAAATTTGATGCAATTAAGTTTTGCAATGAAGCAGAGACAAAAAGGAAATAAACAGCTAACTTGGAGACACTAAAGAAATGTGTCTTTTGTACACCGTTGTGTGCTAATTCTTTCTCGCGATAGATATAGACAAGTAAGATGGTTTCATGGATCTCCATAGAGAACTGAGAAGTTTTCAGTTCATATCTTAAGCATTTAGAAGATGTAAGTTTATGACATAGTTTAGGCAATACCTCTTCTGTAGGGGCTTCTGGCCCAAAAGTTGCTCCCATATAGCCAATTGACTGCTGGACTCCTGGCACCAAATTAACAACATTTTTTATTATTATCATTGTAAATTATAAAAGCAAAAGGAAAAACAAAGTTAAAGTAGTTACCGGATGATACACTATCATGTTGTTAATGATCGTCAGTCGAATTGCTTCTAATAACTCTGGATCATCAATTTTACGGCCAGTGGACCTGTAGAGCATTCCTGTCACTCATTCTAGGCAAGAACTGATAGATGCAGGAAAGTACAAAGAAGAAAGATGTCATATTCTGATGTACAAGAAGGAAACTAAACTTATATGAGAGATTCCTCATGTCAAGTTTTACATATCTGATGAAATATCATAGGAAAGAAGATTCACTTACGCTTTAGTTATAGAAAACTTGTTATGCTTGCCAGTAGAATCGAGACAGACACTAGCTTTAACGACATTTAGCCCCAAGTTCTTTAGGGCATTCATCTGCATGTGAAACAAAACATATTTTGTCAGTTTATTTCTTGTAGATCTAATATATGGGAGATGTTAATAAGATCATATGGTCCGTTCGAAGAAAAAAATAAAAGGATCATCTGGTCAATGGTGAGAATATACTGAGAATTTTATGTGAATAACATACCGTATCAAGGAGCTCGCCAAGACGATCGCCCAAGGTTATTTCTACAATAGTTGCATCCGGATCTGAGTCTTGATCTATTATAACTTTCGGGATAGGGACTATATCAGTGTTGCTCCAATCCTGCTAACCAAAGTATACGCGGTTGAACAAGCAAGTCCACCCAATGTTTTAGGTAACCTATGCTATGTACCTCAACCGCCGCAGCAGAAGTAGCCCTTGGAACCCTCACAGCTGGAGAGGACAATCTGGAAATAGGAAAAGATCAGTTACAAACACTCCAAACTAAAAAGAAGCAACATAGTGGAGTTCTATGCTATGACACTGTAAGACTGAACAACACAGTAGGTTAGTATTAACATCATTGCACTCTGAAGCAACTAGACTAGGAGCCTCCAAAGGAAAATTCATGCAGTATTTTCGAAATACTACAAACAAGTGTACTCTTACTTCAGCTTTTTAATATATGATAGACTAATAAATGAAACCCCAACTTTCAGTTGCATACCTATTTGCCACTGCAAATGGACCCAGCAAACTGTAGAATGTTTAAATTAGTACATAAGACCATGGAAACTGTCAAATCCATGATGCCAGACACAAACAAGATAATATGTTGTCAAATTCTTGACATAAAAATATCATATGGACGGAGTTCAAGGACATATAGCTAGAGTGTTTTGTTCTCAGACTAAGTTATTATATTTTTCCTGTAATTAACTAGAAAATTAAGAACTTAAACAAGCTTGGAAGAATGATGATTGCATAAGGAAATTTTTGGAAGCGGCTTCCAAGCCTCACTCAAACTGTGAAATGAAAAGCAGGCATGCATCTGTTGATACACATCGAACAGCTCATACAGCTATAACAGATATCAGCCCCGTGACCACATTGGTGGTTTTGCCAATCAGCACCGCCACTTAGCCACAATATATCATCCATACATGACGCCAAGCAAAAGCTGCTTTGCAATCTTTAACCCCTTTTCGTTAAGCAAAGCAACAAGTAGTATATTCTGCGGTCTGCGCCTCAAATAGAATCAAAGAATCCAAGAAACAAGCCATGCCATCATGATGTGAATGAATGAGCATCCTGTACTAAGAGCATCTCCAAGCCCCACTCTCTAAATTATCATTTGAAAAGTTATTTGCATAAAAATCGTTTTCTATATCTTTTCGGTCTACAACAGTTTTTCTATATCTTGTTTGCACTCTAGAGAGTCATTCTCAAAATCTCTATTCCTAGCCATTAGAAAGGATATAAAGAGTCTCTTCAAGTTGCTCTAACAAATTCAAGAATGAAGCTAAACTGTACAGTCCCAATCGAACAAACGTATATTCTCTGCAAGTCAACTGCAACCTTTGAAACATCCTAGCATGGCAGAAAAAAAAATGCTAAACGAAGGCGCGGAGTTTAGTGCAGCGAGAAGGGGATGGCAAAAAACTGAATCTTGGCCAATGGCCAATCCCCTCACCTCAAGTTGGCTGGCGCAAGAGGCCGACACCGACCAAGAACCGCAGCACGGCGGCCGCCGGGCGCCGTTGGAGACACGCCGGAGCACGTCCGGAGGGTGCCGTTGGCGGCCGCGACAGTCACCGCCATTTCGGCCATCTCTCCTCCAAGAAACGGGCGGACGGGATCCAATCCGATCTAGCAACCCGAATGGGAAGAAATAGGGGGCGGGTGGACGAGGAAGGCAGTCCTACAAAGGCGACGGCGACGGCGATGGGATCATGACGATGATGCCTGCGGCTGACGCGGCCGCTCTATCCATATCTTGTCGCGGCTGGCGGCCGCTCTCTCACCTTTATTACAACGCGATCACTCTTCTTCTTCTCTATGGAAATGTGACCCTTTCTTCACAAACAGAAATCTGGAGTTTTTGAGATTCAAAAAAATTCTGGAGTTTTTGAGACAATTGGAAATACAAGATAATACAACAAAGTCTACGAAAGTACCAAAATATCTGCACAATGATGTGACATCCGTACTCCAAACAAAATATAAGCATTTGTGACAAAATCGACATCAAACTAAAATCCAAGATGAAAAAAAATAATGTATTGCGCAACGTGGAGAAAAAACGATATAAGAGTAATCGACAAAATAGCTGTAACGTCTAAAGAAGTAGGCAACGTGAAGCCACCTCGTACCACTGTTGAGAATGGACAAAACATGAGTTCTCTGATTATTATTTTTCATCCTACCAAAACACACGTGTTTTTAGTTGGCGATCTTACACCACGTTCGATTGGCTGATAAGACATGCTAAAAAGTACTATTCATTGATTTGCTATGAGAGAAAAATATTGTATCATGTTTGATAAGTCAGGCTGATAAGTTCAAACGAATATGGAGTATTGCGATTTAATGGAACTGGAATAGTGAATAATTTTTTAATCATGGTTGTTTATGATTTCTACATGGTATGAACATGTTCAATTGTAACCACACGCACTCTACTCTATTTTTATGAATGCCTATAAAAGACTTGGCCGACAAATTTCGAGACTGAAGTTTTATCATTGGCAACTTGCTTTCAGAGCCTCTCGCCTCATGAGTTAGTATATTATTTGTTTCACCAAAAACAATTAAAATAAAAAAATTTAAATAGTCATGCAAAGAACGCTATGAGGAGCATTTGGCCATTCCCAGGTTTTAGAGGTTTCAATAACATTAATTAAATAAGATGCCACATAAGTAAGGCCCCGATTGGATGACAGACGCCGTGTTCGGCTGGCTGGGCTGGCCAGCCCCCTCACATGGACACTGTTCATATGAACCAGCTAGTAGTACTTCTCTCTCACATAAACGAACCAGCAACGATACGAACCAGCCAACCAAACAGGCTGAGAAGCGTTTCGGGTTCTCAGGTGAATCACCAGAATCCCTACCAAACACCTTTTTCAGTGAAATGATTCTCCGTGAAACACCTAGAAACGTTTCTCTTTTTTGAACTACAAATGAGAATCACCCAAATAAGTGTTTCACAGTGATTCTAGTTCATTTCAAGAAGATTTTGGATCAATAGCCAAACATTTCACCGATTCTTACCAAGTGATTCCTAATTCAACATAGAAACATTTCTGGAGAGAATCTGGATCTAAAACATTTCTAGGAGAATCTGGATCCCTAACAAGCGGGGCCTAAATGTAACAATATGGCAAGAAATTTAGGAAGAGAGAAAAGATGGGTTTGATCTTGATGACACCTGCTGAAAAATGTTTCCAAGAATGCGAAACATATTCAAACTGTCATTGAGGACTTGAGAGCTTCAATTCATCTAACTTTGCTACCATTCAAACAAAAATCTAACTGTGATGAATCCAATGCACCGCAACTTATTGTTATGGCTAGCTTATGAAGCCCCATAATGAAACGTTGCATTGGAGGCCAACCTCTTTAGAGCTTGTTTGGATCTCATTCTCATAGTGAGGATCTAAATTCTAGATAGCGAATATAAAATCTAGATTCTAGATTAAAAATGGAGAACTCTTATTCTCGTAGTCATTATTGTCTTTGTATAGCGAATACATCCAAACAATAGGTTTTATGTACATAGTTGGATTATAGGATTTCATTTTACAATCTAAATGTTTGGATCTCATTCTCATTCTTGTTTTTCTTAAGAGATCAAACATGCCATTGTAGAAACCGTGAAATAAAATTCTCACAGGGAATGGCCTTTATCCTTTCGGAAGGGCTAGCACCCGAAAGTCCGGTCGCAAGAGGCGTCCGGACAATACTCCCGTTCGAGCGCATCTACCGCGCGCTGTCCCGTCCCCATGTAACATAAGTGCGGCCATCTCGTCCTCATAACAGAAGCAAGCCCGTAAACCCGCAGTGCCATAACAGACAGGAGCGTGCCCGCCTCACCCCGCCTGAGTATGCGCGCTGCGGAGATGTCTGCCGTCTTCAGGCACTCGCACGGTGACCCATGGTGGTGCCCCAGCAATAGCAGCAGGGGCTGCAACAAGTGGGTCACATTGCACCATGTGCAACACCCTATCTACTTTTAAAACATCCATATGCAACACTTGCAATATACGATGAAGACAGATGAAACACTTAAAACATGCATCTGAAACACTTGTAAAACACACCTGAAAATCAATTGAAAACTATTGCAAAATATACGCAATATCCAAATAAAACACTTGCAACATATGTGTAAAATATATGCAACATCCATATAAACACACTTGCAATATACGTCTCAAAAAACAGATGAAACATTAGAAATAAAAGCTTGCAACATACGTGTACAACCATTGTAACATATGCAACATCCCAATCTACTTTGCAACATCTATATGAAACACTTGCAACATACCGCTGAATCATCTAAAACACTTGAAACAGACACTTGCAACATGCACTTTCAGGCGCAATATCTACTTGTTGGCTGGACGAAATGGAGGCTCGTCGACGTGGAGCTTGATGCCAACGCGAAGGTCCATGTTGTTGTTCTAGGCCTTAGCCTTCGAACACTAGGTTGCCGTGCGAGCAGATCAAGCAGACCGGACACTGAAGCGAATACAAGGTGTGAGAAACACGGCAGATGTATTCATAGTGAAAATGATCTACCCCCTTTACAAATTCTGCCTTAGGGGCCTATTTATACACGCCCGTAGGCTTTTTATGGACTAAACTACCCTTCTACCTGCTACATAATCGAGGAATATTCTCGTCCACTCGAGACTTGTTCGCCTCTTCGGAGGTATCGCCCGCCTCAGGTAGCACCGGCCCTCTGATCCCACGCTGTGTTGCCTTTTTTGCTGACCAAGCGGTCCCCAGCGGACCGGGATTGTCGGCACCCTGTCCCCTGGCGAGCTTTCCTCGGGCGAAAACCTGCAAGGTCATATACATAGACAAGCGCCAAGCATTCGACTGGGCGAAATGGCCCGGACGACTTTCATACCTACCGGCTCACCCGTACCCATTCGTCCGAGCAAAAGGAGCGTTCCACGTGCCAGGATCGCCTGGGCCCAAAACGCGCGACCAACATTTCGCCCTGGCGAAATGACGACAATCTCCACTTGATTCAGTGGCGTCTTTTCGACTTGGAGAAAAGACCACGATCCCTACGGGAAATGGGGCCAACCCTCTCGCTTCGGCGAAAAGGTGACAGTCCCTCGCTTAAACGTTAGGCTGCCCTTGGCGAAATGACTAGTGATACGTGAGCCGCACTCCAGGCTTCCCTTTCATCTCCACACGTTTCAAGTCATTTCGCTATGGCGAAATGGTGGCTACATAGGGGGTGGCGATGCGTGAGACCCGTGGGGTGCCCAAAGGCTTGGTGCGCCCCCAACACATGCCACGGAGTGGCGGGGAAGCAAGGTGCGGAGCCAGGCTCAACCAAGCATTACCGTTATCCTTTCCATGATCTCCTTTTGTGGTACAATAAATTTATTTAGCAAGAGAAGACAAGCTCGAATACCTTGATAATATATAGAGCCTCTTTGACAGGGCTCCTGCAGGGGCTTCAGCTCCGGCTCCTGCAGGAGCTGTGCCAAACGTCTGTTTTAGAAAGAGCTCCGCATGGGGAGCCGGTCAAGAGCCAGAGCCATTTTTTGCCTGCGCAGGAGAAGCCTCAAAAACGAGCTTCGCGCGGCTCCTTACTGTGGGTTCACGTCGTCTAGTGCAAAAGAGCCATTTTGCCAAACGTTTTACAGAACGGCTTCAGCTCCTCCAGAGGAGCTGCTCCTTCAGAGGAGCCAGAGCCGGAGCCATTTTCAGAGGAGCCAGAGCCCTGCCAAACAGGCCCATATTATTTGTATGTTTTATACAAATCTTGGCTTGGTGTTCTTCCCTGTCAGGTACCTACTTTATTTGCTTCCAATAAAACTATACAAGTGGATCTTTTAAAAAAAAGAACTATACAGGAGGATTGTTGCAAAAGGAAAATACAAAGATGGGCCATATGATTCATGATTGGATCTCAAGCATGTGGATAACCAACCACTTGCCTTTCCTTCTTTTGTCGAGGAATATGGATAATCATTGGACCATATCCGGGTACACGCATTATTGTTTTTTTCTGCTCTCGATATAACAAATGGAAGATCTGAAATGTAACGCGTCATGTTCACTTTAAATTACCGCATTATTCATGTGAATTCATATATTTTGAAAAACAGAGTTCCATACATGACATGCACGCAATAGTGATCTTGAAAAGCTACCGGCCGTGCAGGACTGGCAATTAATCAGAATGTTCAAGATTCATCGATCACTCCTTTCTCTGGCCTACCTTTCTGCCCTGGTGGCTACGATTGAATTGAATTTATTTAATGGAATAAAAGCTAGTAGTAGAAGAAGACAGGTCGGTCCATTGATGCACGAGAGGCCTTCCGTGTGGATCCTGGGGTCCGGCGAACGTGAACATGATAGATGCAAGCAACCAACAAGGGCCCAGTGTCGTGATCCCTAAAGCCAGATGAGAAACTCTTCAGTCACCACGATTATGTCTGTCGCTCTACACGTTTCCTAGCTCCCAATTACGTGTCTTTCTTTGGGTTCGTAGGCAGCCACTTAAAATCAAATACACTGGAGAGCAGTTGTTGCTTTTCCAAAAGAAACAAAAGATCTCAGAGTTCCGT